ATATACACACACACGCAAACACTATACATCTATCTTTATTAATCATTTACTTTTTAAAGCCAAAAAGAAGAAATTACAAATATATACTCCCGAACATAGCGACAACAACAACAACAACAACAACAACAACAACAACAACAACAACAACAACAACCCAACACTCCCACCCCCAGATCCCTTCCCCCAACAACAACAACATGCCTAGACATTACAATTTTACAACTTTGTGAATCAATCTGCTGCCTCTTATTTTTTTCTCTCTTTATAATAAATGGCAATACTTTTCTCGAGGTTAGGTCCATGCATAGAGTGGTACTACATCCTCCCTCTAAATCAGAACATTCTGTTATGGATCATGCCCCCTGCCCCCCCCCCCCCCCCTCTCTTAACTTCTCTATCTCTCTCTCTCTCCCCCCCCCTCTCCAACTCTTTCCATCCCCATAAATAAATAAATAAAAAAAGATTAAAGAACTACAGCCTCATAAGAAAATCAGAATCCGAACTATGGTTTTGTTTAATTTTCCCTGGTTATTTTTAGCGCCGTTTGAACGTCCCCATACCCATGAAGGTCTCCCCTCGGATCTGTCGTAGGATTTTACATTCCCTTTTACATGCTCATCTATTTTATTAAGTAAGGAGCAGAAAAAGTATAACATACTCTTGCTGGTAAAAGGGAAAATTAGCTTCTACACTTTGTTCAGAAGCTGCTTTTCTTCATTAAGTTGGTTGAGTTGGAAGAAAGTTTAGCAATGATATGGCGTAATCAGGGGGAAAATCCCTGTCGTATTCGCGGTACATCTCCAGCTGGTCTGTGGGATTGTCCTGGATAATCAAGTTGTCTTTAACGTGTTTGTCATAATAATAATAATGATAATAGATAGCATTAATTGTATAGCGCAAATCCCCGCTCAACAGCAAGCTCTATGCGCTTCACAATCTATACTATTACCCCAGCAGACCCGAGAGCATTCTGAAACAAACTCAACTTCCTGGAAAGCATACACTGCGAGCAGCCTTTTATAGGCGCTAAAAGACTAACATACTGACAAGACCTTTCGCTGTCTATGGCCGAGTACCCTTTTCCACCTGGGTGAAATGAGGAAAATTCGTATAAATTGCCATTCCCTAGGACAGAACGTCGGGCCTGCGTCTCGAACCATCGATCCCTCAACCTCACGATTTATTACATTTATTATTCCGGTTTATTACAAGTAATGAATGGTTTTCCCCTTAGAGAATGACATGTTTTCCCCCCACTTCAGTGACGGTCTGCTGATAGACGTCCTAGAGCACCTGGTAGACACTACATTGAAATAAAACCAAAGATCCCTTCCTATTCCTCCCCAGGTTTCCTTCGATGAGGTCCTTGGTGAACCCGATGGCATCCGGTCCATGGACTGCGTGTGGCGCAACTCCTACAAGTGCTTCAACTGCTGCAAAGGATGCTGCTACAAGCTGCTCACTCTCTTCTGTGGTATCCCTCTGGCCATGTGCTGGGGCTGCGAGTTCGCCATGATCACCTTCCAACACGTGTGGTACATCACTCCTTGCATGAGAGCCTACATGATCAACTGTGGATGTCTGCAGAAGTTCTACGGCACCTGTATTCAGTGTTACTTGCAGCCTATATATGAAGCCTACGGCTACTGCTTCAACAATATAAGGGTCACTAAACTGTCAGGTTAGAAGCCCCACTCGAACCTTCGACCCAGCGTGAACTGTGACTAATGATGAAGACTGCACGTTGACGACCATGATCGGACGAAGCTTCATCTGACGTGCACAGAGCCTCAAACCTCAAGGCGCCTGGCCTAGGTTGTGCAGAACAATTGGCCAAGTGTATAAAGGAGGGAAGACCGCATAAACCACACAGCAGAAGGAAACTTGGGGGGGGGATGGACGAACATCGCTGATGTCTTTTCTGCCTTCCAGATTCGTGAACAGTAAAGAATTCTCGTTGAAGCCTTTTGTTCTGCACAACATTGTCGTGGTATCCATGCATCGTTTGATATTCATTCTAATACAATTTTCTTAAAATGTCCATTATGATACAAACATGTAAAAGAATTCTATCCGAACTTTTTAATAATTAGTTTCTTCAGAGAAGTACAAAGTAAATCTCATTTGCTTCAGAAAGGATTTATTGTCCTCCGTTTCCTTTGTATCTAGAAGTGCTCCTTTATTTCAACGCAAGCGAAACAATTTTAGAATATGTAATCGTTTTTATATCCAACGTTACTGTGATAAATTAAATAACTTTTTACTAAAACGACCTTGCTGTCTTCTTCATTGTCTTTAATTTTAGAAAAAGCAGGATGTTTTCTACTTCATTGTTATTTTTATGCTAACAGCGTAAACGAAGATTACTCTGTGTGATATGTTCACAACACTCATTTATATTTCTGTCAGTGTCTTAAAATCAGTAGAAAGGACCAAGGGTACAAAGCAATGTTCACGATGTTTGCTTAGTTCCAAAGCAAAATTTGCTTACGGCAGCGGCAGTGATGAACAGAGCACTTGGTACTTTGATGAATGTTTTTACACTCAGTATTCAATGATGAACATGAGACTTGGTATTGTCTACTCTTTACAAAGAAGGGTAATTTATTAAATATAATATTTACAAATCTTTTCGTTGATTTTTTAAAATCTTATACATTATTAGTGTACTGAGTGTGAGTTTTGGATTAGCTTTATGATTAGGCCGATCTTCTATTTACTACCGCATGCTTGGTAACTTTAGAACATAACTTTCCTATGAGGCTAAATGACTATTTTGCAGTCTGATTATTTAGATTGGAAAAAAAAAATATTTTGACTTCTGAGATAAGTGAGAAGTGATAAAAGGAAAAGAGCAAGAGATTGCTATTTGTCTTTAAAAAAAGCCATTTTTGTTATGTGCACATTATAGATACGAACGAAACTTTACGAATTAGACATGCTAAAGCCAGGAGAGAAGCCCACAAGCTGGACACATCCACTCGTGAAATTGAAGCTTTCAACTGCTCAAAATGTGGCAAACTCTTTTCTACCAGAATAAGTTTCATTAGTAGAAGCCGCCGCTCATCTTAATCCTTATAAATATTCTTTTACTTGCTGCAGATGCATTGGTCATCGTCAGACATTGAGGGACGAACTCTTCTCCTTCTTCTTCTTCTTCTTCTTCTCCTTCTCCTTCTTGTTCTTCTTCTTCTTCTTCTTCTTCTTCTTCTTCTTCTTCTTCTTTTTCTTCTTCTTCTTCTTCTTCTTCTTCTTCTTCTTCTTCTTCTTCTTCTTCTTCTTCTTCTTCTTCTTCTTCTTCTTCTTCTTCTTCTTCTTCTTCTTCTTCTTCTTCTTCTTCTTCTTCTTCTTCTTCTTCTTCTTCTTCTTCTTCTTCTTCTTCTTCTTCTTCTTCTTCTTCTTCTTCTTCTTCTTCTTCTTCTTCTTCTTCTTCTTCTTCTTCTTCTTCTTCTTCTTCTTCTTCTCATGGTCGGTACTCTCATTATAATAATAATAATAATATTGATAATAATAATAATATAATAATAATAATAATAATAATAATAATAATAATAATAATAATAATAATAATAATAATAATAATAATAATAATAATGATTATGATGATTATCATTATTTTTACTATTATTATCATTATTACTTATAATTTCATTACTATTCTCATTGCTATCATCATCAGACACAAATACAATATTTCGAAGGTGGGAAGCTTGGCACTGTGAAGGAAGAACGAACAGAAGAAGGAAAGAGTCAGGACTCCAAAGCAAATTGCTACTTTGGAGTTAAAAGTTCTATCTGACATTTTTGATCGTTTTGAGTTACCAAGACGGACCATGAGGTCAGAATTCAAATGTTCTGTCTGTTCTATTAAAATCATAAGATCATTCGGAGTCGTTATCAAGATATTTAAAAAATTGCATACGACAAAGCTTAACGTGCTGGGTAAATCAAACATTTTAACGTCGAATTTATCAAAAATAGGTAACAAGCAGATATAACTTCTTAAGTCTATGGTAGTTAAATATCGTACGTGCACTTTGGAGCACATAATACTTTGCGCACGGTACTCCACCCTTGGAGCTTTTAGGAAGGTCTGGAAAGCAAGACTGCATCAGCGTAATCGACCTTAATGTAGAGTTATACCAAGATCACACTATATTGAATCGAAACCAGCCATATTTTTTCCAACATGTGTGGGGCAAAAGCTACCGTTCTGACACTCTACGACCAAGCCAGGAGTCGCCAGTGGGTCTAAGAATTGGGCGCGAACAATAATGCAATCCTAGGCTGAATATTTTAGAGGGTAAAGTATGCGAAGCATTCCTCATCTTACCTGTTTGGCGAAAATCGGCTTGAAGAAGGAGTCTACCCTTCGGGCTTTCGCTGGAGAAAAGGTGTCCATTATTCTGTTGACGAAATTGGAGATGCTGTCAATGATATTATTGTAGCTCGACTCCTTTCAGTATACTAAAATCTTCTTTTTCAGCCTTGGCAGACAAAGATGGAGTCGTTAGTGCAATTTCCTGAATTTTGCACACTGCTCTGAATGTTGTATCCATCTTGTAGTCTTTCAGAGTTAATAAAGACCCGAGCAGTACTTTTCTGAGCAGACGTGAACACTTCATTGTAATACAAAATCTCCGATTCTTTATGTAACTTGACTTTGCGCAAAATAAAAATCGCTTTCTGGTAAACGATCCACGAGCACTGTTGGAAATGACTCTTGATAATCTTGAAGCTTGGGTGGGTCGACCACTGACGACACTTTTTATTTTACTTTGCTCTAAAAGAAACGGTCAATAATTTGGTGAAAGATAATGTCACAGGCGTCCTTTGCAGAAGCGTCGCTAGTGTTGCGTCAGGGCCTTTTGGAAGCGTGTTCCCCAATGGTCTGACGTATTGACTGACACTTGTTTCTAATTTCCTCGACCCCTGTTATAAACGTTTCTGGACTTTTTTGGACTGCTATGGGCTTTGTAATTCTGTGTTGGAGGATCCTGCACAAAATGTCAGTGTGAGCGAACACTTTGCTTAAAAAACTGCAAAACGAAGAGAAATGTATTGCTTTTTCATGCATTGAGGAGATGCATGCTTCGTCTCTGTCTTGAAGAAATTCCGCCTGTTGGACGATAATACTACCTTCGAAGCGTGTTGGCTCTTCATTGTGCAGACTCAGATGCGCTTATCCTTTTCAAGTGAAGATTGTGCCAATAAGGCAAAACTGGAATTTCCACCTTGTTTTAGACGGCCGCAGAACGTTCTTGTAATAAACGCGTCTATACGTTTGTAAAATGGGCAAACATGTTGAAAAGCCTGCAGCGTTAGCAAAAGATACCATGCAGTCTTATAATTATGCCAGAGCAAGCCTGCTTTAAAACAACATTCAACTGATAAGCATTGCAATGAGCAAAGATGGCATAAGGGAAAATTGGTGCATCTGAGTCTGTACACCAGAAACTCTCTCGCTCATTATAATCCCCCCATTGTAGGTTTGGACGATCAGCTGCTCCTCGACGCTCCACGGTTCTACACCTTCTTTAAGTGTTGAATTGACCAAGTTATGTCTTTGGCGTCGAAACAAACTTTAGAGACCGCTTCACTGATTATTTTCCGTGCTTCATAGATCACAAACTAATCGCAAGCTATGACAGATGACCTGCACCAGTTGCTTCGTCAGCCTGAACAGACAGAAAATTGACAGAGCGTATGTCTTTATTCCATTCTCCGAGGACTTTTTTGAAAATACAGTTGACCAGTTCGTTTTGTATTATACTTGTGATTTGGAACATTATCTTGTTACTGGGGTGTTGTGCAGATGATCAAATAGTATCCTGTCAGTGTTTACGTCTCTGTCCAGTATATTAATAAAAATAAAAATACCTCTGTTCCCTGACAAATACCATCGCAAAGGGTGGGTTTGTGATTGCCATGGAACAAAATACACTATAATCTAACATTATAGGTACCTACTCTTTTTCTTCTGTTCGATTCAGTGAGACGTTGGAATGGGATGGTCGACTCTAACTGCTCTGCTAAGTCTTCAAGTCCAACTGTGTGATACTTGACAGCATTGTTGACGTGCGCTCATGACGAGTCGGATTTTTTAATGCTTTCTTTCACACGGCCAAGATCAGTAAAATCTTTTTTTGACCACTTCACGTCCTCAGTTTAAAAAAGCAGACAGTAGAAACAGAGCACTGTGTCTTTGCTAACACGAACTGTGAGCCATTCACACTATTTCGTGTTGAAAGCACAACTGCACCTTTCGTTAACTATAGAATTTTAATATTATTTGAATTGTGCGGACCAAATTCTCTGAGAATTCCTTACTTACTTTACTTTTTTTCGTCCGCTTGTACTGGTGGGAGTCGCTGGGAGACCGAAGCGTCTGTCTTCAGCAAGGCGAGTGGCCTGTAGGAGGGACATCCCATGGAATGGCTCACAAATTCCCTCCAGCGTCGCCTTGGTCTTCCTCTGGCTCTCCAGCCATAACATTTGATGTTGTATGCCCTCAGAGCTGGTTAGTTTGAGGGCATCCATTTAAGGTGTCTGAACCACTTGATCTTTGTTTTTCAATGTGTGGTAGGACTGGTGTTGCTCCTACCATGTCTCTTATGATTTCATTTTTTAAACTTTGTCTCGTCTTGACAGGTTTTGCTAACACTGATCTTCAAGTCATATTTCTCGCAGCTCGGGTTTAGTTGGTTCATATGCTGCTGTAGCTGAGTCTTGTTGTTCATCATTGCCCGGTCATCTGCAAACATGAGTTCATTCAGTGCTTCTGGGTCTAGATTGGCCTCCTTTGTAATCTGGTCCATGTAGATCACGAAGAGAAGTGGGGAGAGATTACAGCCCTACCTGACACCGGGTGTTACTGGAAACCAGTCCGATGTTCCACTGGTAGTGCGGACTGCGCTTCTGCTGTTGGTGTAGATAGCCCTGATGTTGTCTAGCAGTTGCCCCTTGATGTTGCACTGCTCAAGGATCTCCCATAGTTTGTTTCTATTTACTCGATCTAAGGCTTTTTCCTGATCCACAAATACGAAATGGAGATCTTGGTCGGATTCAAATGCTGTATAAATTTATATAGATTCATGAAAAAAAGTTGGCCTCGCCAAAGCTTAGTCTCACAGAAACAGGGCTAGACTCTAAGCCCTTCAACAGTTTGCTCCCGAGCAAACATAATACGAACATGGAATTGTGTCAGCGTTAGGGAACAGTCTGAGTACTTTTTTTAGACTACCTACTGTGGGCTATGTTCGGCTATCTATCTATCTATCTATCTATCTATCTATCTATCTATCTATCTATCTATCTATCAGGGGCGAAGGCTGACTTGTTTGACAGGGTAATCAAAGTGAGGTGGGACCAGAGAGTCACAAGAATCTCACTGGTACTGGAGGCGGCAACTCTGGGTTGGGAATGAAAACAAATCCTGAATTCATGTTGTATGCATATATTCAACCGCTAAAATAATCGGGAAAGTATTTAATTAAATATTTATTCTAACTAACCTTAAATTTAACTTTAGATTTGAACACACGAACACCAAGGAAAGAAGCAGAGATGTCAGTACTAGGCCTACAATGGCATGTTATACCAGACAGCCGAAACACTTTGGTAGAGCACGCCAATTATTAATTTTTTATTTCATATTTGGCTGTTTTTGTCTAGCTTCGAGGTCACGATCAGATTATAGGACGTTAAAAAGGTCGAGAAAAAAGAGACAAGCACTTGCAGCAGTCACGAGATTATTAGGAGTTAGTTCCCCTCATGTCTGTGAGGTAGACTCGACCAGTGTAATAGTTGGCTTACATAATCAGCAGGTGAGGTTGATTATAACTGTGGCTCGAAAGGGGTGAACAGGGTATATGCGAAAATAAAACAGTTTTGACTGCTATGCACATGTTCCCTTCAACTCTATTGGTAGACTCTTCCAGTCTCACTTTAAGCTTACTTAATGAAAGCTTGTGACTGCTTATGGAGTGGCCCGATAGGGGCGAACAGGCTATTTCTGTGGCAATGAAATGGTTTTGAAGGTTAGGCATAGTCTATTGTTCATTGGTGTTTATGAACGTCTCTTTACATTTAATTTATGAGGTTTACGTCTATGGGTGAATTTGACTGCGACAATGTTTCAAAATTAGGAAGGGAAGCAGTGATTATTTGATTATATAGACGCTTCGCCTCTGCTATCTATCTATCTATCTATCTATCTATCTATCTATCTATCTATCTATCTATCTATAGCAGCACCACGCAGAGAGAAAACAACAAGGAAGGTGTCCTTAAAGGCTCTGATTCTATTGTTCCTAAAAATAGTCTGTGGAAGCATATCCTTCGTGCGTCCAAAGTACCATCAAGAGTTGTAGCTAGAAAACTACAAGCTCCCTTCTACAGGGAGAAGCCAATAGAAAGGATGACAGTGACTGGACAGAATTAGGAAATGATCAGTCCGTTCTAGTGCAAGGAATTCGACATAAGGCCAAAGGAAACCAGATCTATTCACTTGTCCTCTAAAAAGTAAGTAAAGACCCCTGTGTCACCGAACACATTACCCCAAGGGCATAAGAAAACAGCAATGTCAAGGAAGAATTTTCAAAAAAGCATAATCAAATAAAGAAAAAGGTGAAGAGGATTATAGCGTTTGTAAGTAAGTGTTTGGGTTTAACGCTTCTTTCAACACTGTCACGTGATCTAAGAGGCGGGGCCTCCGAATGTAACGTCTAACTCCGACTGGACGAGCCAAATGAGTTGAGAGCCTTGAAAACTCCACAAAACGACCCAAGTTCAAAAACTTGCTGTTCTGTTGGGGATTCGAACCACGGCTATCCGCTCCGAAGTCTAGCAAGAAAAACATCACGGACAATTGGTAGAGACATAAATTACTTTGATTGTCTGAAAAAGACAAGCGTTCTAAAAAGGGCGTAAATATTGCTAAGTGACCATTGTGCCCACTGACATCGGAATTTAAAAATAATCGGCCTGCAGTAAACGATATATATTTTTTAAAAAGCAAGAATAGCAGATATAGAAATTCATTCGTATCAACTGCAATGAGGCTAGTGAACACACAGTGCTATAAATGAAACAGGGCGAGTGTGAGAGAGAGAGAGAGAGAGAGAGAGAGAGAGAGAGAGAGAGAGAGAGAGAGAATGTTTTACGGAGCGGGTTGTTTCAGCTCGTAAAACATGTATTTACTACTGTCCTGTCTTGTTGTGTGTATGCGTGAGTGCACCTAGCTTTTGTAACACTCTACTGCCATATTATCTAAAAGAATGAAAACTTAAAAAATTATTCTTCCCACTGACCGCTATGAGCGTCCGTATCGCTCCACAATTCAGGCGAAAGGAAGCTGCCACGGTATTCTTGTCTGATGCCGCCACACAGATGCGGCAGCTTGGTCTTGCAGATCATCCGTTTGGGTGCCAAAAGCTTAGTCGTTTGAGCAATATTTTAAGGACACCTTGAAAGTGGTCAAGGGATCTGTCAACCAAGGCAGAATTCGCGGTGCAAATAGAGAAAGTAGTGAAACTGCGTCTCAGAGAATCCTGACTATTTCTTTCTATATTTTCTGTTGGACTTCGTTTATTAAGCTAACTGTAAAGAACGTACGTCAACAGTGCGTTACGACAATAGCCATTCATATCGTAACGGTCAGCGCTGGCATCAATTCCCTTGTTTGTGACCAATATTCTGAAAGATTACTAGAGTAAAATAACATTTTGAGTCCAAAGACACCCCCCCCCCCCCGAAATCCATCATGACGCCATTATTTCCATTGGTGTTTCTCTTTACAAACTCCCCAATGCGTTCGAGAAACATATTCTGGAAGAAAAGGTAGAAGGCAAGAAAGGAATCGGAAGACATAGCAGAAGATGTGAAAAAGTATAGAAACTTGGTTTGGAAACAAACCAACTCGGGCAGACAGAATGGCAAGAGATAGAATCTTATGTTGCAGAACGGCCCGAGAAAAAGCGCTCTACTGCCGCAAAAATCGGAGAAGAAGAAGTACCTCTTTACGACGTTGGTCTAATAGTCCCATGATCAGCCCCTCCATCCTAAAGCAGGCCAAAAGCAAAAGTAAACAAAACCAGCAGCAACAACAATATCAACACCTTTACCACAACTACCACAACTACCACAACTACCACAACTACCACAACTACCACAACTACCACAACTACCACAACTACCACAACTACCACAACTACCACCACCACCAACAAGCAAAAAAAACAACCAAACAAAACGAAGCGATATGCGCACTGGGCACAAATAAACTCACGTGTTGAGAAGCTCAGGGAAATCTTAGTTCACCACCAGTCAAATACATATTAGCCATAAACGATCTAAAAACATTTTCGTGATAGCACATTTTTCAAACAAGAACCTTCTTAAGAAAAAGTGCGAGTACATAAGAAAGCGCAGACAACAATGAAAGATACTATTTCATCTTGTAGTTTGTTTGAACACAGAGAAGCACTTTGATATAACAACGGTCAACTAGTGCTGGAAAAAGAAATTGAGACAGATAGGCAGAAACAACAGAGTGAAAGTTAAAAAAAAACCCACACTATAGTGCGGTCAAACATTCGTGGGGCAACTTATTTTAAAATATCTCTTTAACTATCGAACACAGACTCTCCAGCTTTTGCACAGTGACTTGTATCATTTTGTTTTAACAGATCAGTATTTTTGTGAACACCTGCTAGCTAAACTCTTGAAAATTCCTTAATAAATACAAATAAAAAATCCCAGCGGGTGGTTTTTACAGATTATGAAAGGCTTACATCTGGGACAATATCGCTTTTGAAAGCAAATCTGTCATTTTTTTCTAATCCCGACATTATGTTTATTGAACGCATGTTTTGAGAACTTTTAGTGCAAAAAAAAATGTTCACCTTAAAATTAATTTCTTGTAACTAATTTTGCCACCAAAAAGTGTCATTGGTGAGCTGTGGTGTAGGCCAAATGCATAATATGCAAAATGTATGTGAGGAGTGGGAAGTGCTGTGAACAATTCCATTTTCCGCGTGAAAGAGATTTGTAGCATTTAATATAACTTTATGAAGAACAGTTTTTTAATCTAGCCTTAATTGTTGTTGATAAATATGATTAAGTCGAGACAAATTGATACAATTGATACAAACTGCTGTGCTAAGTATTGGTGACATTGATTCCCCCGTTAAAAAGATATTTGAGGATATGTTGCGCCACGAATTTTTGACCGCACTATAGCACCTATCAGTGGCGCCCAATAACTACCCACGATATATATGTCGTAGAATCCCATGTCTGAAGGCTTAAATTTTGGTGACGACATACTCGTATGTGGGATAATTCAGATAGTCATTTGTCATTGTATGTGATCAACACCATATTCATCCCAACACTCACCTATCAATGCCAAACATGGACTACGAACAAGACATTGGGTATAAGCTGCGGATAAAAGTAAAGTAAAAAGTATATTTCATTGTATAGGTTTGACGCCCCTTTCAACACCGTAAAGTTAATTAAGTGGTGGGACCTCCGAATGTAAGGTCAATTTTCCAATAGCGCAGAGCTAAATGCCTTAACAGCTCGCTAAAACAACGCCCCTTTAACCAGGGTCATCCGTTCCGTAGTCCAGCATGACACCAACTGAACAAGCGGTGCACCACTAGAATGATCACCTAAAGCTGATGTGAAGCAATATTCAACATGATTTTGGTCCTTTTTGCTCATCACAAGAAGTCAGAGAACTTTATTAGTTCTTTTTCTAAAGGCATTGTAGTAATTTATTGTTGACCTATAGAAAGCCCTCCTCTTGCTCTGTCCAAACTGTCAGCTAAAATGATATTCGTTGAACGTGGAAACTAATAATACTAACAGCTGTTTTATAGCACATATCCATGCTCTACAACTATTAATACCTCTGCAGGCCCTAAAATACTCAGAAAATATTCTTGGTGCTCAGGGAAGGAGACCGTGCAAATTGTGGATTAAATGCTCAAACTCTATCAAACTGACAGGATTTTTAGCATCCTCTTTAGCCAGGGTGAATTGAAAAAAACTTGTGTAAAGTACCTTTTCCAAGGTCACAACGTCGGGGCTCTGACCGCATTCAAAATTATGACATTTAGGTTACGAGTCCGAGAGCCTAACGACCAAACCAAAGACGTCACGACTCAATTAATTCTTTCTTAAGCGGATGTTTTGCGAGCATTGCTTTCTGTACTGCAATGAGACCACTAGACTCTCAAGTTTCCTTTGAGTTTACACTTCTAGCTTATTCTTTGATCTCTCTATTCAAGGCCAGGGGTATTGGAACAGTAAATTGCGAATAATAAAAATTAGAACTGTCTCCTTTTCAAATATTGGGTGTTGATAACAAAGCTTGGCATTTGAGACCTTTTCCGTTTCTCTTAGTTTTTTTTTTCAGAAAAGAAAGAAAAATGGATCTACTATCTGTAAACCCTTCCACAACAGCTTAATCAGTCTTAAAAAGAGGTGCAAAGGCGCGTTCTGTCTTATGGACACTTTTTAAAGACACACAGAGCCTTCTGGCAATAATTATTACAAACATGTACTTTCTTTCAAAAAACTTCCGAAGAACATGTAGGTGTAAAAATTTATTTCATACACAGCTCGTACAAATGCAAAGGTGGTACCTGATAAAGCATCAGTATCTTACGTGAGTAAAGTTTAAAGCCACTTCTTTACAGTGTATAGTGGACCAAATACTGATAAATATTGCCCATAAACGTACACTGATTCCAATAAAAATGGACATAGCAAAAACACAAGTATCACATTTCAATAAAAACAAGATTTAAGAGAAAAACTGATCTCTTATGTTGTTGGCGTGACATAGGCTTGTAACAGAGCAGACTTTCAAAATTTTGTTCAATGAAAATGTATTCACACTCATAATAGATCTTATGGTCTTTTCTTCATTCACCTGGCTGTAAGCATACACTGTACACCGTGAACCAGGACAAGGAGATACCCTAAAAATCACCAGGTTTGATTATTTCGAAAAGTTTGAAAACTGGCACTGTTATAATGGTGATGCTTGTGGTTTCATGTCTCCCGAATGGAAGAGGAGAACTTGCCTATGCTATGTGGCCAATATTACAAGAATGGCATTAACCCTTCTTGAAGGCTGAGAAGCACAGCCCGCAGGCCTCAAAGATAGGATCGTAGTAGCAATGGACAATCATTCCCCACAGCTTCTGCATACATCCACAGTTGAGCTCCAAGCACTTGAAGCATGGCGTGACGTACCAGATGTGGACAAAGGCGATGTAGGCGAACTCACAGCCCCAGCCAGCGGCGATGCAGATGCCACAGCACAGGGTCATCAGGGTGTAGCACAGTTTCTTGCAGCAGTTAAAGCATTTGTAAGAGTTGCTCCACACACAGTCCATGGCATGGTTGCCCTCGGGTTCAGCCAACACATCTTCAAAGGTGACCTAGAACAGATGAGAAATATTTAAGATTAAGCATGGTTTTCTATAACTATAACGTTTTGGGAGGTGAATAACAGTAGCATCATGTGTTCAGAGGCAGCATTATTTCGGTATAACTTACAAGTCCTTCAGTAGTCTTTTGTTTCTTTCTGTTGATTATTTTTTTACGAGACGTATTCACTTTTTTTCATCGCCCAGTATTATTTTTACTCCTTCTCATTGACATGTATTAAAATAACCCATGATATCCTAGATTGGGTGGTGTCATGGCCGCCACTCTTTGCTCTCTGTTAAAAAATAATCTCTGTACTGGTGCACACCATGAACGCACACTTAATGAAGGGCAAAACGCAAGTCTCGTTGTTGCCGAGTGCGCACGCAACTTTTCCTTCATTTATTTCCAAGTAAAGAGAAACGGTGTGCTCCATTGTTAACCGGAATTACACCAGGCCAGAAGTGTCCAGTCTTAGATATTAAAGTACAAGTCTAAGTAATATCCTAGACTGTGCACTCCTTACATTGGTCTGCAATTTTCCTGTCTTTCTCGTATCTGTATTTCGTTTGATTTTTTCCCCTAACTTTTTTTTCCATTGTTGTTTTGTTTCCTTTCTCTTTTATCATTACTTTCATAGTTATTATCTCCGTTCTTGCTTCTCTCCTCTCCTTCCATCTTATATTTTTCTCGACTTCTTTTCCTTTCTCGATCTGTTCCCTGTGACCTTCATTTTTTTCTTTCTTACACACCCCTCTTTCATTGGAGCCAGTGCAGCCTTAATAAATCTCGCATGTCCTGTCTATATTTTTGTACAGTGACCACGTGATCAGTCTTTAGAGGGGCCTGTGTTCTGTTTCAAACATATTTTATAACGAATAGGCTTTTCACTGTAATGAGAAATCAAAATAAAAAAAATAAAAAATTCTTAGGTTAAATCAAATATTGTGCTCGCTTCCTGAGTCATGACCCTTTCCCAGACTCATTACTACAGACTCAATGAATTATAATATCCTAGACCGTGCACTGTCATGGCTGCAGCACTTTGCTCTCAACAAAAACTTCGCTGCGTTTTCAGTTATGTGAAAAGAAAATGTGTCTAAAATCATATCGTATATTTTGTTCACCGATACACACCAGTTACAAAGCTTGTAATAGCTACTTTTACGGCCATACCTCTCAAAAATAAAGTCTGACCTTCGAAAAACCTTTCAAAGAAGGTTTACCACCAACTACAAAAACACAACTGGGAAAGGACAATTTTTGTTGGTGTGTTGATTGATTTTACCATATTGGAAACTGCAGAGGAGTTGTTCCAGTTTCTAAAGTAACAGCCTGCCTGGAGTCAGTTTCAACCTCTCTCGATTATATATCCGAAGCAACATCGATGACAGAGATGGGTTTTAGATCTGCTAAAGTGGAACTTCGTGTACTGAACTTTCTGTAGCAACGTGTCTAATTGTACATTTTCGAACCTGTCACTATAAACACTAATGTTGCCAGCTCACTGGTAGCGTTAGAACCCCATTGGCTTTTGGGTATCATTTAAGATTTTGTCCCACACATACACGTACATGAAAGGTGAGATGGAAAGCACACAAACACACATATATACAGGAAGAATGCAAAAGAAAAGCATGCAGTGCCACTTGTAGGTTAATTTAAGTAGCAGAGTGGATAAGAAAGTTTTACGCGCTTCGTCTGTTCCAACTACATGTTCAGTGGTAAAACCATCCATTGTCAGGCTTGAAAAATAAGATGTTAAGAACAAAGGTGGGTCGTAAAACGTTGGTTTATACTTTCTCTAAATGCAAAAAAACCCTGAGTCCCTTGTTTTCTCCTTTGCACCTTTTATGTAAACATGCTTTAATATTTTGTTTCTTTATTTCTCTTTTTTCTACTTTCTAAAAACAAAATTTGTCAATGTTGGAATATTCGAGATGTCATCTTGATGTAAGGAGTTGTAAGTGGTTCATATTCCACATTATGTGTCATCGCACTTTACCCCTGAAAGAGCTCGCCCACCCTCGCCTCTCAAGCGGGGAAAAATATAGTTGAAATTGCCTAGGGAGATGGCGACCAATTGTCTAGGAGAAAGTAATTGTCTTAGACAGTTGGGCGTCTTAAACATTGTCATTACAATTTTGAAAGTTAGAAATGTTGAATAAAAATTAAAAACCACACACAAAGGAGGAAATTGAAAGTGGCAGTTTGTACAGATGATTGTCTTATACAGTGGACCGTTAGATCAGGTTTGGCTGTATTCTAATGATGTTCCCACTCAGCACTTTGACACTGGATCAACATTCAAAAGCAAAACTAATCCGTAAAAGGTAACCCTCGTGATTAATCACAATTTACAAATCGTGTCTAAACGTTTGGTAGGTTATTTTCAGTAGTCTTTTTTCACCTTCTCTGTCCTAAAACAAGTTATTATGAAATGTCATCATGTAAGAGACAATTTTTTTAAAAAGACCCTAGTTCTTTGACTACTTTATTGATAAATCGGTTGATTCCTTTCTAGCTTGCTTAATTGATTGTTTCATTGCTCGTCTGGTTTATGGATCATTCTTCTGAACGGTTGATTAATTATTTCCTTTACGTCCAGATGTACACAACGCCCTAGACCAGTGCTTGCTGAACCGATTTGGTAATTTGGCAATCTAGATGGGCTGTTGGGATCACCCGCTTGGACTAACATGCAGGTGAGCGTTATGAACATTTTAGCCCCATAAGGTCGGCGAAAATTGAGGCTGCCCACAAAAATGTTGCAAAGCACTACCTTAGACCTGTCCTTATGCTGAAGTGGTATTTACCCCCCCTCCCTTTTCACACCTACTTAGGTTAGGCTCTCGGACTCGCAACCGTAAGGTCGTGGGTTCGAATCCCGTCAGGGGCCCTACGTTGTGTCCTCACTTCACCCAGTTGGGAATGGGTACCCGGCTATAGACAGCGAAAGATCTTGTCAGTTTGTTAGTGTTTGAGCGCTTAATCGGCTGCTTGCACTGTATGCTTCCCGGGAAGCTGGGAATGTTTCGGAGTGCTCTATGGTCTGCTGGGGTAATAATATAGTGTAAAGCGCATAGAGCCTGCTGTTGAGCGGGATATGCGGTGTACAAATGCTATTTATTATTATTATTATTATTATTATTATTATTATTATTACTAATATTATTATTATTATTATTATTTTTAATTATAATCCACCAATTAGCACAATCATGTATACAAGCACGTAGACATTTCTCTCTCTCTCTCTCTCTCTCTCTCTCTCTCTCTCTCTCGCTCTCTCTCTCCTCTCTCTCTCCGTCTTTCTCTTCTCTCTCTCTCTCTCTCTCTCTCTCTCTCTCTCTCTTTCTCTCTGTGTCCGTGTTTCTATAGCTCTCTCCCTCTTTCTCACTCTATCTATGTCTCTCTATTTCTCTTTCTCTCTAAGTCTTTCTCACTGTCTCTCTGTCCTTTCTCTCTCTCTCTCTCTCTCTCTCTCTCTCTCTCTCTCTCCCTCTCTCTCTCTCTTGGAGTATTTGTGTCCGTGTATGCATGTGTGTATGTATGTGCTCGTTTGTTTGTTCGTTTGCTTATGTGAGGAATATGCAAATGTGCATGCCTGTATCGTGTTAGTGTGATGAGAGTCCTTCAGAATCTACATCAAAATGAAGACCCCCTTGTCAACGACACGCTTTTTAAACATATTTTGAGCGTGCTAATTCTTTTGTGGCACAAGGCATTTGGGAAACTAGATTTCGGGCAACTGGAAGGTGTTGCTGATAGTTCATTCCTCTTGAACTCTATTTTATTCTTTAACTGTCTCTTTGTCTGTCTCATATTTTCTTGTGCTATTCTGGCAATCAAATTAATAATTGTAATGGTAATGAACGTGTATGTACCTGTGTATGTGTGTGTTATGTGTATTTACATTAGAGCCACCACCACCTCACCACTGAATTACAGTTCGTTGACAACTTTACCTGCATACAAGATAGGGATTTTCGTAATCGAAAGGGGTCCAAACTATTCTCCTCCTTCCAAGAAAAATGTAGCTGCTGAGGTCCTATCCTATTGAGCCCCCCCCCCCCCCCCCATTTTGTTGGCTTAGGTTAGCTAGAGAGGGTTACCGAGCAGACAAAGGTGGTACTGATGCACCTAAAATTTCATGAGTATTGACTCCTCGTTTTTAGCAAGGCGAAATCATGTTACCTACTCCGGGGTGCTCTCGAGTGTAAGCGTTCTATTGGCCTGGAATACCTGCAAAGTGTCATCTAAGCTCTCTGGTGTCATCTTTGGCTCCGAGGTTGACGTGTAATGACGGCCTGGAATACCTGCAAAGTGTCATCTAAGCTCTCTGGTGTCATCTTTGGCTCCGATGTTGACGTGTAATGACCCGCCATTGTTTAATAACGTTAGCGGCTCACGTGCATTTGTTTCTATTCATTCCAGCTCATACTTTGGAGTTGTCTACATTCTGTGGTGACAACTCTTGTCTATTAAGGTCAAGATGTATAAAAATGCAGGCTACAGTGAGTGTGTTGAAAAGTTAAAGATCCATCACTTTAGATATGAGCAACTGGAAAAATAATAGGGTGAGAACATTTTTTTGAAAACCTCCCCTTCACCCAAAAAAATATTTAAAAAATGCCCCGGAGTCTGAAGTCGCTTACCTTCAAATGGTCGTTGATGTTGTTGGGATCACGGTTGACAAGATCGATTTCGGCCATTTTGACTTGTTAGCTGTATAAACAGAGACCTGAGCTGCTACCTCCCTGGAGTAATGCTGTTGTGTGAATAAAATGTGACGACTCCAGCTAAGGTACTCAACAATCAGTTGACCACTCTCTGGCTGCAGCCCTGTAACCCACAGCAACTAAACTGACCACTCGCCAGTGAGACTTACGCTCGCCCCCACCCCCGCCCCAACCCCCATTTTCATTTTGGTTTTCGTTCTCTGGGCATTGTTAAATTCTGACCACTTCACTGTAATCCCTTAGCCGCTTTCCCCCACCCAACCTCCCTT